TTAAAAATTTAACTTGCCCACCTCTAAAATTTATTTTTACACCCCCAGCCCCAAATTTTTTGTTTTCAAAAGTCACTTGGTAGGACAACTTGTTAAATAAAATAATAAATTAAGTTAAATAGTTAATACTTAATAGACAATTAAATGTTTAAAACTTAATTTTTATTTTTTTTTTAAACGTACGGATATGGAAACTAGAAGACACATGACATATCATTTGATATGTATGCTTATTACTTTAGCGTTGACATTGTCGGTTGCTACTGCTACTGTGGAGAGAGCATTTTCTGCAATGAAGATCATAAAAAGTCGACTACGCAACCGAATGGAAGATGATTGGCTTAAGGCTTGTATGGTTTTGTACGTTGAAAAAGTTGTTTTTGATAAAATTAGTAATGAAACCATTATGCAACGATTTCAGGCCATGTCATATCACCGCGAACAGTTGTACTTATAAGCTAACTTTTTTTTATGCATTTTTTTTATTTTTTACAAATTATGTCATGTCTTTTGCCTCCTCTCAACTAACTTTTTGATTTCGCCACTAATTTGTAGTAACAATTTTATTTCGTTGCAAACAAGTTTTTATATTTTCCAACCCACCCTTAAATATTACAAATTCCCAACTATTAGGCACCAATTGTGTAATTTGGGCAAAAGTTTGGGTTCCAAATTTAGTTATTCCAAACTATGTCTACATTTCAGTTATTATTTTTTGGAACCAATCAGGAGAATTCTGGAATTCGCTCTGGTAGCGACACGTGTCAGTACCAACCTTCAAGCTCGAACACGACAAATCAAGAAGTTTCCTTTTCCTTCTTCTCAACCCCTTCATTCCCTCTCTCAATATTCCATAAATTTTGCCCTCCCCGCGAAGATATTCGAAACCGCCGTAAACCCAACAACCGCCGAGTAGAAAATTCCTCATATTTACCAAAAAAGTTTCGATTTTTTCAGTCGATTTTGAAGTGATAGTGTCGGAATTTCACTCCGCCGCCCGAAGGATGTGGAACCAGCCGTACCGGAAAGATGACGTGGAAGCCGGATCACGGCCGCTGTACCCGATGATGCTGGAGAATCCAGAGCTCCGTTGGTCCTTCATCCGGAAGATATACACGATAATCAGTGTGCAGTTGCTGCTCACGATTGCGGTCGCTGCCGTTGTTGTTTCGGTTCACCCGATTTCGCGGTTCTTCGCCACCACCGGCGCCGGTTTGGCTTTGTACATTGTTCTTATCATCACCCCTTTCATTGGTATGTTCGCCTTTTCTTTTTCGGCTCCAGTTTATGGGTTTTGATTAGTTTTCTGATGGGGTATATTGGTTTATGATGATTTTGTATTTTTTTTTGTGTCTTTTTGCAGTGTTGTGTCCGTTGTATTATTATTACCAGAAGCACCCTGTGAATTATTTCTTGCTTGGGCTGTTTACTGTGTCCCTGGCGTTTGTGGTGGGGTTGACCTGTGCTTTCACCAGTGGTGAGTGATTCCTTTTTTTTCTTCATTATGGTTTTGAATAATTATGATTGAAAATGTGAATCCTAAAGGTTGTTTAACAGAATTTCGTGAAACTCAAGTGGACAGTTGTTAATGAACGCCTTTCGGAGAATACATTGGCCACCTTTTCTTGATTTTATAATAGTGTTGTAGTATTGTTGATATGTTTATGACTAAACTGTTTTGGCACTTTCGATTGTTATCTTGTGGTTAGTGTGGCTTTGATTGTTGAACGTGGATACAAGTAAACGTATTGAGGCTATTTTGAAATTGAAGTCACCGTTTCATTTATAAAAACTCAAGAGCTATAATAAGGGCTTCCCTGTTTCAGTAAAGGGTGGTAAGGGTTAGTATCTATTCAAGAATCGGAACATTAATTTTATAGAAACTCGAGAGCTACAATAAGGGATTCTTTGTTTTAGTAAAGGGTCGTAAGATTTAGTATCTATTCAAGAATCGAAACATTAATTTTATGGGAACTCGAGAGCTACAATAAGGGCTTCCTTGTTTTAGTAAAGGGTGGTAAGTAATTCAGTATCTATTCAAGAATCGAAACATTAGTGGTGGATGGTCCCTAGATTCGAAAATGGGATTTTTGTTTGTTCCTCATTTTTTAAAATTTCTCATCGAATTTAGTAATTGTGTTTGCAAATTATCTGACGTTTGACAATGACTATGACAAATTGAATGGTTTGCAGGGAAAGTCATTCTGGAATCTGTTATCCTAACCGCTGTTGTGGTAGTTAGTCTCACTCTATATACATTTTGGGCTGCAAAGAGAGGCCATGACTTCAATTTCTTGGGGCCATTCTTGTTTGGTGCTGTTATGGTTCTCATGCTGTTTGCACTTATACAAGTACGAATCATTTACATCGAAACTTCTAATAACAATACATTGTGCACTTAATTGAATTTTGCAAAAGTTTCGTAATTAGCGAGTTTCATTACGATTTGGAACTGAATGTTGATTTTTTTTTTCGTGTTTGCAGATCTTTTTCCCATTAGGTCGAATAAGCGTGATGATCTATGGCTGCCTTGCCTCGATAATCTTCTGTGGTTACATCATATATGACACGGATAACCTTATCAAACGCTACACGTATGACGAGTACATATGGGCTGCCGTTGCTTTGTATTTGGATGTGATTAACCTCTTCCTCTCGCTTATGACCGTTTTCAGAGCTGCTGACAGCTGAGAAATCGCCATTTTTGCTGTCTGTATGTATGTATACGTATGGGTTTGATATTTTCTAAATGTATTCAGTATTTTTTTTTTTTATCTTACAGAGAAAGTTGTACGTCATGGATGGATAGTTCTCTTCTAACTATGAATAAATATGTAGTGGATGAGTTTTTATGTTAATAAATAAGGAGGGCAAAGTGAATGTAAAATGAGTCATTCTACATGTAAATGTCAAAGTTAATTGACAGATTCATAATCAATAGTAACTGGATTTGCAGTAAAATGAAGTCTATAGTGTTTGAGTTATGGTAAATTAGGTCAAATATTTTTTTGCCTCCTTTAAACAAGTCTGTAAAGGATCATATTCATTATCTGTTATATAAAAAGGGAGAAAAAAGATATCTTTTACTAATGAAAATAAAATAAAAAATATGGCAATTTTCGAAGAATCCTAATAATTGTATTAAGACAAAATTCTTTGAGAAATTATTACGTTTTAAATACTTTAGCAATTTTAAATTCCGTTAAGAATCGGACTTCTGCAAATAGAACGGATTTGGTGTCCAATTTATCCATAATCTATAGGTTCATTTTTAATTAGCCTAGGGGTGCTGGAAAAGAAAAACCCAAAATTTTCCATACCCAACCAGACTGAAATGGTATCGTTTTGAAAAATAAAGTTCTAAAAGGTTTTTCTTTTATCTTTGTTTCGTTTTTGGTACTGAACCGTTTTAGACAATGCCGGTATGGTACCGAGACATGTCAAATTCCGAACAGTTTCAAACCGCGCCCACCCCTAGCATCAACCATAATTTATTTTATCCGAATGAATTTTAGAACTCAAAATGAATTTTGAAATCAAAAGTTTATTTGAAAAGTATTTTCAAATAAGCTCATTAACTTTTTCAGTCATTTGTTAAATAGTTAGATTCGTGTAGCTAATTGATAGCGATTAAAAGTAGTAGTGTCGTAGCTATGGTGACGGGGACTGAGGATAACCTTGTCTTCATGGAAGCATTATTCAGGCCATACGTGAGTTGCTCAGGCAGGAGTTGTGTGTTCGTTTGTCCCATATTTATCGGAAAAGAAATTTATCGGCAGATACGTTAGCTTCGCTAGTTGTTGATGTTCCGGTTGGTTATCATCGTCTTCTGACCTCGCCGCGGGAACTTAGTCATTGGCTTGATCATGATATCTTAGACGTGGTTTATCCATGTCGTGTGATGCTTTAGTGTCCGTTAGGCTTCGCCTCTTTTCTTGTACAAAAAAAAATTGTAAATATTAAAGATGATAATTTTTAACCAAAAATTTTATGGAGTCCTCGGATGGTTTTCTTATAGAGCCATCCACCACTTAATGTATCGACACGTGTTCAAATTGTGATAAGTGTCAATACATTATTGGTGAATAAATATGGATGATTCCATAAGTTGAGTCATCCAATACTACGTGGGAAAACTGAATTTTTAACGCAAATTTTCCTAAAATTGCCAAGAGGCTAACATAGTCACTCAAACGGGTGTCAATACATTATTGGTGAATAAATATGAATGATTCCATAAGTTGAGTCATCCAATACTACGTGGGAAAACTGAATTTTTAACGCAAATTTTCCTAAAATTGCCAAGAGGCTAACATAGTCACTCAAACGGGTACCCAGCCCTTTGTACAAAGAAAACCCGATTCGGATCCTTACCCGTTTTATCGGGTCAATCAGCACTACGCTATAACTTGGGTACGGCCGAGATAGGAGAGAGGGAGAGAGAAGAGGGAGAGAGAGAGAGAACGCGCTACAAAGCCCTAAAAAACCCTAAAGAATCACCCCTTCGCAGATTTATCTTCAATTGAGCTGATTGCTTAGATTAATTTAAGACGGAAAGATGAGGATTATGATCAAGGGTGGAGTATGGAAGAACACGGAGGACGAGATCTTGAAGGCGGCGGTCATGAAGTATGGCAAGAACCAGTGGGCCAGGATTTCTTCGTTGCTGGTTCGAAAATCGGCGAAGCAGTGCAAGGCGAGATGGTACGAGTGGCTCGATCCCTCCATCAAAAAGGTATATTTGATTCGATTCTGTTTTCGACATTTCTAGGGTTCTGGATTTGTTTTCTTTTTTTTTTCTTTTTTGGTTCCTGTTTTCTGTTGTATGTATCTTTAAGACTGCGTCTGAAGCTGCATTTTTTAGATTAAAAGCTCGAACTTTGCAAGCTAAGGAATGGGAAATGGATAACTTAGGGGAGGGGAGGGCACGGGGCAAATGTATGGTTGAATGTTAGGTTTTACAACTTAAAGATGCAGGATTGAGCATAATTTGATAAAAGGGAGTTGTAATGAAGTTTGGGAAGATTTCCAAACTTTCTGATAGGATATCTAATAGCTGTTGATGATTTATAAGAAGCTGATGATTTTGAGTCTGTTGAGATTTATTCTATTGAGTTCTCAAGTCAAATTAGTACATTCAGACCTTTAAGGTTCTTACCTCCATTGAAATTTTAAAAATTAGAAAATGGAGTGCTTTTCTCTGTTTTCTGTTTCCCTTACTTCGTGATGTTGAAATAGTTTGAAGCTTGTATATATTGGTTTTTCAGAAAATTACTTGTAAACTTGAATGGCCTCACGATCAAACATGTATCGCACGCATATTACTTTTTTTTTTTTTAATTATAATGATAACATGCGTGATGCATTTCAAATTGTTTGTCTACCGCCTCTCACAATCAATCACAATGACTTGCTGCCTCACGCAATTCAAATACTATTGAAGTTCTTCGATTTAAGAAACTTCTCAATTAGATTAACCTTTTGTATAAACATATATTTTTCAAAAAGCTTGACGACAACGAAGAATTCTTGAATTGCAGACGGAATGGACTAGAGAAGAAGACGAGAAACTACTGCACCTCGCGAAACTCATGCCCACTCAGTGGAGGACAATAGCCCCCATCGTCGGCCGCACCCCTTCTCAGTGCCTCGAACGTTACGAGAAGCTCCTCGACGCCGCCTGCGCTAAGGACGAGAACTACGAGCCTGGGGACGACCCGCGAAAACTCCGCCCTGGAGAAATTGACCCTAACCCAGAATCCAAGCCCGCGCGTCCCGACCCAGTGGACATGGACGAAGACGAGAAGGAGATGCTCTCCGAAGCCCGGGCCCGTTTGGCCAACACCAGAGGCAAGAAGGCGAAGAGGAAAGCCCGTGAGAAGCAGCTGGAGGAGGCCCGGAGGCTCGCCTCTCTGCAGAAAAGGCGGGAGCTGAAGGCCGCCGGCATCGACGTTCGCCATCGCAAGAGAAAGAGACGCGGCATCGACTACAATGCCGAGATCCCATTCGAGAAGAAGCCGCCACCGGGGTTCTACGACGTGGCCGACGAGGAACGGCCCGCCGAGCTCGTCAAGTTCCCGACCACCATCGAGGAGCTCGAGGGCGAGAGGAGAGTTGACCGGGAAGCTCGGCTGAGGAAACAGGACATTGCCAGGAACAAAATCGCGCAGAGGCAGGATGCTCCGTCAGCGATTCTTCAGGCGAACAGGCTGAACGACCCGGAAGCCGTTCGGAAGAGGTCCAAACTTATCCTCCCGGCCCCTCAGATACCCGACCACGAGCTGGAGGCAATCGCCAAGATAGGGATTGCGAGCGATCTTTTGGGCGGCGAGGAGTTGACGGAGGGGAACGCTGCCACGCGCGCGCTGCTGGCGAGCTATGCCCAGACGCCGAGGCAGGGGGTGTCGACCCCTATGCGGACCCCACAGAGGACGCCAGCTGGCAAGCAGGACGCCATCATGATGGAGGCTGAGAACCAGCGGAGGCTGACTCAGTCGCAGACCCCGCTGCTCGGAGGGGATAACCCGATGCTTCACCCCTCGGATTTTTCCGGAGTTACCCCTAAGAAAAAGGATGTCTCGACTCCAAATCCACTGCTGACTCCCTCAGCGGCAACACCTGGCTTGACTCCCAGGATTGGTATGGGTGGTACGCCCGCACGAGACGCGTATTCGCTAAATATGACTCCGAAGGGAACCCCGATGAGGGATGAGCTTCGGATTAACGAGGACATGGATATGCTCGAGGGAGGGAGGTCGAGGCAGTCGGATTTGAGAAAGGAGCTTATTTCTGGACTGAAAAATCTTCCGCAGCCGAAGAATGAGTACCAGATAGTGGCGCAGCCGATTCCTGAGGAGGATGAGGAGCCGGAGGAGCAAATGGAGGAGGATATGTCGGACAGGATTGCTAGAGAGAAGGCGGCAGAGGAGGCCAGGCAGCAGGCTTTGCTCAAGAAAAGGTCTAAAGTGCTGCAGAGGGAGCTGCCGAGGCCTCCGTTAGCTGCGGTGGAGCTTATTAGAAGCTCGCTGGTTAAAGCTGATGAGGACAAGAGCTCGTTTGTGCCCCCAACTTTGGTTGAGCAGGCTGATGAACTGGTGAGGAAGGAGCTTTTGTTGTTGCTGGAGCATGATAATGCGAAATACCCGCTGGACGAGAAAGCTACCAAGGAGAAGAAGAAAGGTGGCAAGCGTGCTTTGAATGGAAAGTCTCAGTCTGTGCCGTTAATTGACGAGTTTGAGGAAGATGAGCTAAAAGAGGTACGTGATTGAATTCCAGTTTCAAGTTTTAATAGGCATCTATCTACACATATGTATTATATTGTGTATTGCCTAGCTCTTTTCGTGTTACAACCTAATGTTAATGTTCGGTTGAGTTACTGAAGTGGCATATTGTTGAATTTTAAGCATTGCATTGAATTGCAAAAACATTCATGATTTGAAAGGTCATTTTAGCCATTGCAAATTGCACATTGTCGTCCTTCAGCTTGCACTCAGTGTTGCACAGGTTCTTATTTTATTGAGTGAATTCGTTTGTTCCATCTGGATTTTCGGTTGAGCTTCAAAGTTCAATCATCTGTGTGAGAATATTTATCCCTTTCTGAAGTTATGTTTGAAACTGTGGAATACCTTCGGAAAGATAATAGTATCTTCAAATTATTTTACCTTCCCATATGCTCGGCCAATAGTATATCATTACCATCACTGATGTGAAACTATAATGTTACCTTTGTGACTGCTTCATTTTTTAAATATTATTGGAATATATTCTGCGAATATTGTTGTGTGATTTTTTTTCAAGGCCTATTATACTCGTCCTTATTTATGTCAGTTGTGAGCGTCTGTGATTGTGGCCTTTGACATGGTCATGGATTTCTCCACTGGCCTCAGCACAGATACACACATATATTAGTTTACTGAAAAAACAGTGACTCATAATTTACTTTGATACCCA